TTCTGCGATGAGATTAGAGGCGAAGCCTTAAATATTTCATCTGCTCATCATATGAGACTTTGAAAAATCTTGAAATCCATTCAGCATCTATTCTTTAGACGTGTTTAACGGCCTCTACAACTTAAAGTGGGCATGGATAAGCCCCTTGAATTCATATTCTAGATTCGGTTTTACTTATATTAAACTCAGAGTTCAAATTGAAAAGCACTAGACGCCCGCTCGTTCTTAAGAGGGCATTGAAAAATCTCTGATTTACAATTAAAATGGGTTTTGAAATACAGTGGCACACATGTATCTTCAATTATCACAAACAATCAGTAATTATATATTTTTGACCTAGAACAAGGTTATGGATTGGAACGTTTTTCGAACCACAGTCCGCACGAGTGTATAAATGGTCAACCTTCAAAGTCTACGATACGTATAGGTTTCGCACCTGTGAACTCTACTGTCGTTGAGTCCAAACCTTTTGTTTAAACTTTTCATAAGCTCTCCGTAACAATACCACTCCGACGTCGTGGAAAGTTTTCCTAAAGCTGATAACCGCAAAAGCAATGCTTAGGAATAAGTAATTAACGGGATTTCTATATGTATGAATGCTCGTCTTTCAAACCTGGTTGTGAACGACTAAGTTTAGCAAAACATTATTTTTTCACCATATTTCCGAAGTGCTGACTTTTCTTATCATCACCGTTGTGACTGTATAAAGTGTAAATTATTCCACTGTCCATGCGAGATGTCTAAAGCTCTCTATATATAACGACGTTTTTCATTTATGGTTGAGTTCAAAATATCTTTGTTACATATAATATGCGACGTTTCGTTGTATGAAACACATACTGGAGTTCGACCTTCAGAGGCTTACAAAAGTGACCTATGTGTGTTTCATGGACCCATGGGACCTCGATAAGGACACTCTACACAGGAGTGACCAAGGTAATGAAGTGCTGTTACAGCAGTTTGGGAGGATCAAGGGGCAAAATGCCTGAATTTCAGGATATGTGCACTTTCATCGAACCAGTAATGGTAGAGCGAGCGAGAGCTTAGCCATGACAGTGAAGCAAGTAGATAGAATATGGTCCTGTCTAAACGTGACAGATAACCGAGGGCGAGATATTAGTGATATAAACTTGCAAGCATTATACTCTGCCTCTTCAGCTATAACGAAGACGATGCTGGAAGAGCAAGCTTAATCCACTCCAATGCATATGGACTTGGAAAAACATCAAACGAAAAAGCATTTTAAAAATTACGAAAGTCATCATTTGTGAAGCATCTGCACCAAACTTGAAGAAAGATCTGTAGCAAACAGAAAATCACACCTAAAAGATAAATCACTGTGCTTATCTGGGTGCTCTTACATTTAACTAGAGAACTAAAGGATCTTAGAGTACAGGTTAGCTAAACGACACGAGCTGTAGATCATCAACGTAGATGATCTATGTCGAGCGATTGGAGGCCTACTCGAGTTAGACGGGAATGGTGTGACGAGATAACTATTTTGTGGGTCAAACCTCGCGGTCAACATATATATGGATTACCCCTTCGTCGTATCAAAGTAATGTTGCTGTTTTGGAGAGCGTGTGACACAAAGGACGTTTTTATGGAAATATGTTAGTAGGAACGGGTACAGAGAAGATAGAGATATTACCAACGCATGTGCCAGCCCATGGCATATGATTGGTTTTCATTGGCCCTGACAAGGATGGATGATCTGTTCAATATTCAGTGACTCAAATGCCGAATGGTTTGGCTAGGGCTCAGTGACATTTCACTGGCCCTACAAAGATAAATTGAAAGACATATGGTTATTCTTGAATTTCATCAACATTCGGGGTGGTGACGGAAGAACGAACACTTCCGCGTTAGTTAGATATCAAACTTCTGTCATTACATCAGTGATGCATAACAGACGGCTATGTTTATCCGCCAGAAATACCATTGACTCTTGTCAGCGAGGAAGTTTCTCGAAAGGTTTGTCGTGACAGAAAGTTTGAGATTGAGGAAACTGTAAGGTTTCCTGCAACTTCTAGAATGTTTGATCTGCGTACCGTAATACCAACACCAAATAAGGTCACCTATCTATTATAGTCTAAAAATAGATCTTTATGGTTACGGGGTTTTTCAAGGAGTTCGGAAACATTTGTGATTATGATACATATTAAGGTGAAGTGTGAGAGTATGACAAAGCTATGTTATATCATCTCGTGTCGTTTGAGGCCTTTATTCGGCAAAAAATCCTCGGTGTCTGATGTTCTAGTGATATGTGGAATCCGACTGGTAGATGCAGCCATTTCGTCTACCGTGAAGATGCTGGGAAGATTTAAATAAAAAGTTACCTAAAAGTTACTTTGTTGGAAGTTCGTCGACCAATGATTTCCCGGATAAGTTCCGAAATTTCTGTTTGCGAATAGTGCTACAGTTCCGTGTCGTGAAAGAGCTGGTCTGAACTTTTACGATCGGTTGGGTTTCTCCGTTTTAGGGTAGCTCTTTTAAAGTATCGTAAGACTCAGAACCATCACTAGTAAACATGCTAGGTCTAATGTGCCTGGTAAAATCACGCGGTAGTGCCTTCAGTACTGAGATGAATTGCGTACGTGGGTCTATCACGCAGTGCTTTTGCGTAGCAGATCCAGTTGGCACCCCATTGACCCAAAGTGGTGTGAGTTGAAAGTTATGGGGTAAAAGAGTCTTATTCTCTAATATATTAAGTGTCTGTTCCGTCATAGTAAGGGTGGAACAAATAAGTAGGCGAAAAAATCGAGGAAAGAAACATATCACGATATGTGAAAATAAAAATAGAATCTCATATATAATGATATGACAAGGAACACAATCACAGTTTATCATTTGGTGTTTCATGTCACATCAAAATCACCACTAAAGATGCTACAGATATTCAGAAATTGACAACGCTATTGTTCGTAACACCTTTATAACTAAAGGATACTAATCCAACCATATCAGATTTCAGGAATTAATGGGTTCAAAGATACATTTGTGAGGTTGTCGATACGCCTTGCCATCTTTATCGGTAGTCCACTACTGTTAGACACGGAATCTTGATAATCATAAGCTAGTTCTAGTACTTTAACAACCGTTGGAACCATTTGAAAGGTCGTATATTGAGTTTTTCAGAGGTAATTCGAAAGACTACTTTGCAACCAATCATCGAAGACTGATGTCTGCGACAGTTTATGATTTGATACGATTGTGTAAGTTGTTAAATAACTTCTACGCTACTGAATCTCATTTCCACTCAGCTGTTCAATTAATACTCGTATTCCCGCAGACGTTATCAACGGCTTAGAATAAACAGTAGCTATATAGCTACTATATATATAATACATACTATATATATATATATATATATATATATATATATATATATATATATATATATATATGGTATAACTACTGTTTATTCTATAGCTATAGCTTTAAATGGGTGGGCTCTCTTGAGGCATGTCAGTGAATTAACTCGTAATTATTGATGTGTCTAAATTAATTAAACGGATGAACTAGTAAACCAAGGTTAGATCTAATCTCATACATTAATGTAAGCTGACACTGTACCAACCATCAGAAAGTCCAATAAAAAGTAAAGTCAGCCTTATTAAAACTATTTTTAAGTTATATTTGCCACATTAGGGTCGGTAAATGTTGAGTTGATAGAATCCAGTCAACCTATTTAGACAAAGCATGTCTAGGGTGATGCATGCAAGTGAATTACTCAAAACGTCGATAATCTTTCATGAGAGGCAACTATCGGACTACTACCTGGTTATGTTCAGGGTTCTATTCTGCCTGTATTATTCCTGATAGGCAGTTGGCCTTGAGTTAGTGCTTGTTTGTTACTGTTTGTTGCTTACTGCCTTAATAAATCTAAGTGAGTCCTTTATGATAAACGCACGTTTTGATCAAATTTACGGTCCCGTCATCCTTTGTTCTCTTACCCCGCTATTGTCTTCATAAACAAACTTGTCAGCGAAGCAGTTTAACTTCAGCATACCTCTAGACCAAGCTTCAACCTATGAACGACTAAATATTACACAACTTCCTAGCTCTTCGGTTATTTTTGGTAAGGTTAGATTCTTCATAAAAAGTAGACAATATGGAAAGTAGTCCACTTTTAGAAATTAATATAATAAGTAATCTGTACATTTCAGTTATTCAGCACCTAATAAAAAGAAAATTGGTCAGTTTTAGAGTAGGGGATGATATGTACATCTGTTAAATTATGAGAATTACTTATTTCTGTTGGTGTTGTTGATAATATTTTACCCATAATTTTGGCTCTTCGAGTCAATATGGGAGGAACAGCTGCTGCATAAGTAGGCCAAGCTACTTAAAGATTCATAATACAATACCCACAGGCTTCTTAAAGCCTGTTACTATTTGTCACTCTACGTTTGTCGCATTCCGAACACTCTTTCTGGATTTTAAGATTTCCTCAGCACACTAATTCGTGCACTCCGACTATCGATTCTAGTTGTTTTAATAACCCCAAAAGGCTGGTTCACTACTGAATGCTAAATAATCTTAAATTTCATAATCAACCCTTTTGGAAGTTGTGCAATATTATTTTAACTTTTAGCATCTTTAAGACTTAAAATTACACTAAAATTTGTTTACCATCCATTCAAGCTAGCTCTCAACCTTAGTGGTTGGCAAATGTGTCTGACTCGTAATAAATTTAAACTTGGCAAGAAATTTCGTGGTCTGAATGCAAATTGTTTGATCTGCATATCACAGTAGTTGGTAGAAAATTTGGTGATTATGATGCTCGGTAATCCAAAATTTATCCAATCATTTCACGAAAATCGATCTAATTTAAGCGTCATATCGATAAAAATTGAACACATTTAGTAAATTTCTACACCATAATACAAATGAAGCCCTTCAAAACTCACGGTTTATATTTATGAACGTTTTTGGTCATCATGATAAAATTATTTCAAGTAAAAAATTTACTTTTATTTGTTTCAGAGCTTTTGAAAATGGAGACTGAGCGTTCAAACCTCTTGGCTATTGTCAAACTTATTGTACATGATCTAGTTCAGATTACATTTGATCAGCATCAGGTTTCTCTTGATGAAAACATTTTCTGGGGTGAATCTAGGACTGTTCATTGTGAAGAGGTTCTAAATATTGTCTGGCGGTTGCTTTCTGTTATTGAGCACTGCCTCTGTCATGGTTTACGTCGAGATTACACAGTGCCTGACTCTTCTAACGACTCAAATGAAAGAACTTCATCGAAAGGATTAATGAAGGATGCGACAACTGTCGTCCGAAGAGCACGTGACCATGCCGTTTCCGCTGCAAATCTTTTTATGAAAAATCCGTCACATCCAAATCCTTGGCCCGTAATATTAGAGGCAGAAAAATTGTCAAAAACCACAGATTCTATAAGTAAAACTGTTGCTACAATGACTGAAATACGGACTGGACTAGGTCGCTCTCGCGTTTGGTTAAGGCACGCTTTAATGAGAAAGGTATTTCCTGCAGTTTTTGATCTGTTTTAAATGTAATATGTTATCAAATCGGATTTGTTTTCCCTGAATTTATTTTATATGATAATCTTATTCTGAAAGAGTAGCACCGGTTATTTTTTCTCAAATTTTAGTTTTCATGTGTATAAAACGTTGGGTATTACGTTAGGTTTGATCTGCAGCAGAGCCTTACAAAAGTTTTTATATTCATCGTTTATTACTGTAAAATAATAATTACGGTGTATCAGTCAATAAGTTTGCTTACAGGTTATGAAGACTTGTGAAATCTTTCACTCTAAGTGCTTCTGGTGGGTAATTTTATAAAGTTCGATTCATCATCAATTCCGAAATTTCTAGTCCAAAGTTGTGTACGTTTTCCAATTCTTTTCAGCTTCCTATTTGATATATTGGTATAGCTCTCCTTATTTTGTCTTTTATAACCATTGTTGATCTTTATGAATGCCTGTAGCGTACCTTTACTGATATTTATTCCTTCAATGCAAAATGGCGAAAATGAACTCGATAATAAATACATATCACATAAACAAGAAACTGAGACTTTCTAAAAATAAAGTAAGGAACGAGAGTTAAGTCAAAAACACTAAAGAATAATAATAAGTGAACAATAGTATATAATGGGAGAAACAGTTCAGTTAGATAACAGCCTGAAAGGATTATCTCAGTTAAGAGAATCAGTGAGTCAGATACAACGTAGGACCAGGCACATATATGCATCGGTCCAAGTTGCCACACCTCATTAGCACAACAAGATGAACACCAAATTCATAGGAGTCACTTCAATGGTAATAATATATCGAAGGAATATTCCTTATAAGGATATAGTACAGGAAGAAAGAGTTAGTTGGTAGAAAGAAATATATGGAGCGATTTTAATCTCATAGTTTAAAGGAAGACAGAGTGTACACACATACACCATTGTAATCGATTCTGAGCCATGTCACCAAGGGTCTCCGACCATTGGTTACGATAGTCACATGGACACCAACCAAGTAGTCTGCATCCACCAACACAACTCAGACTAGAAGGTAGTGACTTCAGTGACTGATACCATGTTTTGGTTTGGCCACCCCTAACTTCCTTCCAACCATCCCCAACATTAGTCAGCATTGCACGTCGTGGTAATTGATGTTCAGGCATACGTAACACGTGGCCCAACCATCTCAGTCGATGTAGATTTACAATCTCATCAACTGGTTTACCATCATTCCCTAATTTTTGAAAATTCAAATGACGAAAGCGTTATTTCCAGCAATAGGTCTATGATGAAATTGAACAAAAATGGAGATAGTGGACAGTCTTATCGGACATCGCTTAAGGTTGCAAAATCATATGACAATTCGCCACAAGCTCTGACTCGACTAGTAGTGTTCGAGTAAAGATCCTCCACAAGGTTTACGTACTTCTGAGGTACAATGACAAACTGCATCTCGGTCTATCGAGTCGAATGTTGCTTTTAAGTCAATAAAACCTATCATTGTCGGCCGCCGATAAGCATGCCTGTGTTCTAAAACCTGAGGAATTTTAAATGTCTGGTCGATACGGCCACGACTAGGTTTGAAGCTAGCCTGGTTTTCTCGTGTTGGTGGTTCACGAGTCTTTGTTAGGCGCCCGATAATTATTGAGGCTAGTATTTTAGATGTTATGTTAGTCAAACTAATTCCTCTATGGATATCACAGGATGATTTTGACCCCTTCCTATGTATATTGGGATGATCAGTGATTGCAACCAGTCAAATAGGATTACATCCAACTCCTAGATTTTATTTAAAATATTAGCCAACCTAATCGCTAAAACTAGACCATCATTCTTAAAGACTTCAGGAGCCAGTCCATCTGGACTAGATTTTCGTCCTCGTTTCAGCCTGATGGGATGAGTTTACAAAAATATATCAGTGCAATAGATTTCGCAGAAATCCACTGGTTTTTCGTAACCTATTGGTTCAAATCACTAGTAGATATCACTGCTGTTTCCACAGCTATTCGTGTATCTTTCCAAACAACATCTGGATCAGTCTCGTTTTCAAAATTGACCAAATGTGAATTAAGTTGTTCTTGGAATCTGCTTTTGGCTTCCTCGTCATTGAATTCAACTCTGACGTGTCTTAATATGGTTTTTCTGCGTCCAACGAGGTGCAAGCAAATGCGTGCTCGTATTAGAATATGGTTGGGGTCTAAACAGGTATTCCATAATGAGCGACTGTCTTCTATCGAGCCTCTCCAACGATGAACGATGGCAATGTGGTCTATTTGAGCCGAATAGGGAGTAAAGTGGTTGAGCTTGTCGACCGCTTTACTTATATTAGGAGTCTCATCTATCATTATTTATTATTATTTGAACACACATACAAGAGAGCGCCAATATATATGCGTCACACAAAACAATGAGAATTCGAAGGGAAAGAAAAAAAGGTAAGGAGCGTGAAAAAAAGAGAACAATAACGAAGAGGTTTGTGTAAGGTAGTGTAGTAATAATAATGGTAATAATGAGGGAACGGAAAGGTACAATCAGAAGAAATCTTTCAGTTTAGGGAGACAACCACTTTTTATGAAGAAAGTAAAAGGTTACAGCAGGATCGCCACTGGCTTCTATTCTGAGACATATCTGATAACGTCTCTAGCCACTGTGTAGCACGATCTCTCTGACCCCAACCAGGGAGTCGTGAAGGACCGACAGAAGACAGTCCTTTGCAGCTTTCTTTCATACCACGACACCATGTCATGCACTGACCACCTCTCCGCTTCTTCCAACCAGTCCCAGAGTCGGCAAATAATGCACAACGTGGAATTCTCTGGGACGACATTCATAGAACATGTCGAAGCCACCGAAGTCGGTGTTTCAAGATGGTTTCATCGACTGCATTATCGTTTCTATGCCCGAACACACAATGCCGAATCTCTGCATTACTGACATGGTGTTGCCACTGGCTGTCAGCAATCCTTCGGAGACAACGGTGATCAAGCACAGAGAGTCATCTAACATCCTCAACTCGGAGAGGCCAGGTTTCACAAGCATAGAGCAAAACTGCTCTCACCGACGCGTTGTAGATCCGACCTTTTACAGCCAGACTAACATCACGAAGGCTCCAAAGATGGCCCAGATTGGCATAAGCCGCTCTGGCTTTCACTATACGTGCATTGATCTCATCACTCACACCCCCACCAGCACTTATGCAGCTACCCAAATATACGAACTTCTCGACTACTTCTATCTGCCCACCATCCAGGGTGAGTACAGGATTAGGATCCTGCCAGTCTTGTAGAAGTACTTTGCATTTCGAAGGTGCAAAGCACATACCATACTTACGGACACTGATTGCCAGCTGACTAAGTGCGGGTTGCATGCCTTGAGCATTATCGCACAGTAAAACAATATCATCCGCATAATCAAGGTCGAGAAGTCTTTCTCCTGGCAACAGATCCACACCGCTATTACCTACATCCATCAGGGCTGTTTCCAGAATGTCATCGATGGCGAAGTTGAAGAGGAATGATGAGATTGGGCAACCCTGCCTAACCCCACTACTCGAACGGAACAATAGACAGAGGTCGTTGTTGCCCTCACTCTACCTGAAGTGTTTGTATATAGGGCCTTCAGGATGTTAATAAACTTCTCAGGCATACCCTTTTTCAACAGACAATCCCAGAGAACAGTCCTGTCCAACGAATCGAAGGCAGCCCTAATGTCAAGAAACACTACGATTGTTGGCCTGTGATAAGTATAACGGTGTTCTAACATTTGGCGGAGGGTGAAGATATGATCAATACATCCTCGACCAGAACGAAACCCAGCCTGCTCCTCACGAGTCAATCTTTCTCGGGTTTCGAACAAGCTACGAAGTACGACGGAATCTAATAGCTTGGACGTAATCAGAAGCAGGCTTATTCCCCGATAGTTGTTACAGGAACGACGTGAACACTTTTTAAAGATAGGGACAACTATCGACTCATTCTATGACGTTGGTACACTCTCTAGTTCCCAGACCTTTGTAAACAACGTTGTCAGTTCCTCAGCCAGAAAGTCACCACCATCTTTAAAAAGAGCCGAAGGTAAGTCATCTGGGCCTGGTGATTTGTAGCGCTTCAAGAGTTGGAGTTCCTTGCGGACTCCCGCCTCATTTGGTGGATCGGTCGTCACCGGCCATAGAGGGCAGGACAGTCCGATCGATGTTGCTGGAGCAGCATGCCAGTTAAATTACCCTTCTTATAATTCTGCCCATCGTCCAAGACGTCGATGGATGTTAGTGATTGGCATCCCATGATCCTCGCAGATTGTTTCACTCACACCAGACTTCTTACTGCCAGTGGCTCGGATTAGTTGGAAAAGCTTCCAGTAGTTACCAGATGCAGCTGCTGCTTCCAGCTCATTAGCACGCTCCGACCACCAGGCTTCTCGGTCTCTACTCAAGCTTTGCCCGCTTTCCTTACGTAACATCCTTCGTTTGTGGTCAAACTCACGGTCACCCGGAGTAGACCGACGGGCTTCAATAAGTTGTAAGGAACAAGAAACCCAATGCTTATAAGCGGGACGTTTCGCAAACCCACAGCTGACTGTTCCCGCCATTTTCATGACGTCATGCAATTGCAACCAATGCTCATCTATACTTTTCGGTGGAGTGGTAGCTAGCCTAGAAACTAGCTCAGTTCGATACTTACTAGCAACAGAAGTTGCAACCAGCTTGGTAACATCAATCCTTTGGTGGCGGTCACTTCGTTGTCCACTGAAAAGTAAGGTAAGATTTTCGCAGACCAAAGCATGGTCAGAGTCCAGATAGGTACTCCAAAAGGAGCGACAGTCTTGTACACAACCACGCCAGCGGTAGCTAGTCGCCATGTGATCAATCTGAGTCCATGCTTGGAATGCAGAGGGGGGACGCCAGGTGGCATATCGGCGATGACTGTGCCGAAAGTTAGTGCTAGCCAGAAACAGGTTGTGGTCTGTGCACAGTTGCAGTACACGGTCCCCGTTATCTGATCTGCGATCA